AATTATAATTGTCAGCATAAGCAAGTTTCACTGAAATGCCATTTACCTCACCTTTGATCTCCCTAGTTTGCCCCCGAACTAAATGATCCACCCATGTGACCATATGCTAAATTCCATGTGCAGACCATGTGCAGATCCCTTGGCCTTCATCTGTTACTCATGAACCATAAAGCATTTCAATTTAATTCCTAATTTTCAAAGGAAAAGATGTGACAGAAAAAAATTATTTCTTATATTCCGTAAAGCTCTCTGGTTTTATTCAAATTAATATATATATTTTCTCATTTTAGCATCTTATAAAGTACAGAGGAAATAAACTACTATCTACCTTTTACAGGAGAGGCTATAGATACAAAAGCTGGAAAGACAGATATGGTTGGCCACAAAGCCAGTATTAAAATTCAAGTTTCTTAAAGGGTTTTAGCCTTGTGTTGTGTCCTAATCTAAAAAATAAAGACTTTATTTGTTAAAGACTTATTTAAGACTTTATTTTTCCTGGCATTCTCACTGAAAACAAAACTCACCTCAAATAACTTCAAATTTCCTACCCATACCTGAGAAATAATTTGAGAACATAAAATATGCAAATTAACCAATTTCCTAAGAATTAAAATTGGTACCAGTATGGTTTGTGGGATGGCAAACTGGCAAATTCCTTTAGAAGGTAATCTGAGGCTGGACACAGTGGCTCACGCCTATAATTCACAAAAACAATGTGATATAGGAACAAATCTATTCTTACATCATTTCTGTAATAACAAAAGGGTGAAAACAACCCAAGAATCTACAACAGGAGAAGGGTAATAAAGGTTATGGTGTGTTCACACCATGGAACACTCCACAGCTGTAAGACAGACGAAGACGCTCCCAATGCGCTGATATGGAAGGCATCAAAACATATTGTTAAATGAAAAGTTCAAAGTATAGGACAGCATGTAAAGTATGCTTTTTGTGTAAGAAAGGGAGAAAACTAAGACTATATATTCTTATTCGCTTGTTATCCTATAAAAAAAAGTCTGCAAGGCTATTCAGGCAACTAGTAAACGTGTTACCTGCAGTGAAGAGGAAAAGGAGACAGGGCAGCCTATACTGCACTGTATACCTTTTTATATATTTTGCCTTTTGATCACATAAAATTATTTATCCAAAAACTCTAAAATTAACCAAAAATAGTAGGCATAAAGGATTTAACCTCTGAATTGCTATTCAGAGCTAATCTTATTCATCTCTTCAAGCAAGTTCTGGCATAGGTTTACATTTTCAAATTGAACAAATCTGAAGAAAAAACAAGCAAGAATCACAGTGAGTTGTAGAGTCCTATAAAGCTGCAGAGGCAGATTAGGACTACATGTCTGCATTAGCAATGGCAGTGAGTATTTGGCTCCATTATGTTCCTATTCTGCCTCTTCTTTTGAGACCATCTAACTCCCTCAAAAACTCTCCACTGTGTGCCTTAAAAAAGTCATACGGCTTTTTAGAAAAGGATTGTAGTGATTCAAAATTATTAATGCGAACCCACTCAGATTCTTAGATTAGAAAATGGCTAAGGCTATGACTCATCCATGAATGACTCTCTGTTAATTAGGAAACACGATATCTTCCGGAAAGAAAAGGAAAATAAAACTTAAAAATAAAAAATAAAATAGGAAACAATGATGACCAGTATTTAAAGTCAACTGTAGATCTCTATAGTATCAGAAATCACTAAACTGGGGTGGGGGTAGGCCAGGCCTGTGTGCCTGGCCAGCCCTTCCTCCCTTCATAGCCAACAAATGCACATGGGTTTTTCTTGCTGTGGCCACAGGGGCATCTGATAGAGCCTTTGCCCCATGGGTACCTCCGGCTTTCCCGCCCTGACCTGGAACCTCCACAAGGGAGGCAGACAGAGTAAGCGCTGCCTCTGTGCCCTGAGAAGAAGAGCGGTCCTAAGCACCTCAGATCTGCGTAGAAGGGGGCACTTCCCATTCTCATTTCTAGGCTAAAACCATCCCAGAGTGTGGCTTCACAGAGTCTGTGGAGAAAACCACATGCAGCTCACCTAAGGAATGAGTTCAAAAGCCGTCTGCTCAGCTCTGATGCAACCACGCCTATTCTAGAAATTCGAAGGGGCTGTTGGTTTAGCCTTGATCTTTGACTGTCTTGTCATCAGTTGTCAACTACAACTGGGCAAACAGCTCTGGAAAAGGTCTGGAGGCAAGTCGAGTCCACAGAGCTACAGTCCACCCTTTACCCTGGGTCTTAGAGAACTCATCCAGACAGAGAAAGTAACATGGCCGGGCCGGGCGCGGTGGCTCAAGCCTGTAATCCCAGCACTTTGGGAGGCCGAGGCGGGTGGATCACGAGGTCAAGAGATCGAGACCATCCTG